GAAACCAAATAACTGATCCATGGATCATGCTCGTGGCACCTGCGCCACCTTCCATTGTGCCACGTCCGTCCAACATTACAACGGCACCTGCAAACTTACACCCTACATATTGACATGCGTATTGGAAAAGCTGCGTTGTGGGACGAAGAACAGCCAGAAAAGGCTCGAAAGGGCCGATAACGATCACGAGCACTACCCCAAATTGGTCTAGCTCTCTCTCCATACCCTACTGCTCTTCTATGAAATCTGAAGCTACACAAGATTTCATCCCAGGAAGGGCAGGTGAGCGGGAAGGGAAGAGAAGAGGGCGACTAACCTTATCCTCCTTTCAGAAATGCGATTGCAGCATTTATCCTACTCTCCCAGGGAGCCAAATAGAGCCACACACCTCCTTGTACACGCTTGTAATGATTCGAAGGTGCTCGACAAAGCGCTAGAGCTCGAATTGCTTGAAACGACTGTTTCGTCGACACAGCCTCAACCTTAAAGGGTAGTTCTAGAACCGTGCGTTCCCTTTCTATCTTCTCCATCGCCCGTTCTCTCCGTCAGTCTTTTTCGTGCACTTTTCGCAAAAATTGGTGGGACTAGAGCCTTGTATGAAAATAGTTTGGCTCCGCTACCGCGCACACCACAAGGTCGACTCCACTGGAACTGGACAACCTGGAGAATATTCGTTCCCATGACTGAGGAACTAATAGTAAGATGAGATTCAGAAAATTAGTAAGATTCAGAAAATACGTTAGATAGAGCCTGATGTGTCTTTTTATCATTGAAACCTACTGCGTGGTGCGCGCTAGCATGAGGAATGGAGTTGGTACTTATAATAACTTCGTAAACATTCAGCTCGAATTGATATATGTTAGCGGTTGAATAGATTTTTGCTCTATCAGTATAGGTTATCAATGAAATGTGATCCTACTATGTACAGTCCATATCTCGAAGTCCGATTAGGCGTGTCTATGGATTTGACGTGGCCGTTGCCGCACTTGATAGAAGCCGTGTGGATAAGCTGTTTCTAACATACTCCGCTGGATATCAGCAAAGCATGCTGGAAGCAGCTTATCCGCGCAACTTCTATCAAGTGCGGCGGCCGCCACGTCAAACCCATAGACACGCCTAATCAGACTTCGAGATATGGGCAGTAAAGCTACGAAGCGTCCGAAGAATGCTCGAACCTGAAAGGAACAAGGGGGATAGAATGGACAAATATGGTGGGTGAAACAATGCGATAAGAATTGATAAGGGTGATAACGGCCAGTCGTCCATGTAATCGCTGAAGCGGAGTTTTGACACTCATAGGAGCTATGAGGAGTGGGACGGAAACAAAAATGGTGAGCCATAGAAAGTGATAGCATGGGATAAAAACTGACACAGGGCGTCGGGGTGGCGATGCCATCACTTCGTTACACCCTTCGCATGCGTGGTAATGCTGCCCATTCGAGGACTCCTATGTCCATCTTCTCATCTGTGCTTTAACCAACTGGCCAGTACCGTTATACATGAGATATACATACCTAACACATTTGCAATTTTTTATGGGTTAATCGATATCAAATTTATGGTACAGCTGGCCAGCCAACAGTCAGTAGAGATAGTCTTCATTGTAGTCTCGTCCGTAACCCTTTTTTCCTCAAGACTCATCGTTTTTGTGAGACAATTTTATAGCAAAGAACTGCAGAGAGACGGCTTCATCATATATTGTTTATGTGAAGGGAACGTTTTGCGTATATCCGTGCTAGACTAGTTTTTTTGCTAGAATACACAGAGACGAGTTGCAGTCACTATAATGGAATGTCTTTCTGACGGTCTTTCATTTCATGCAGAAAGGGGCAATATATTACACATTGACAGACGGCATTTATTTGCATCTGTATTGTTTGCAGAAGCAATGGAAGACGATCCCGATTACAAGTCTCTTATCATTAGCCTCGAAAGAGATCATCGCATCAAGATTGGTCAATTCCTTGGTCAGTTGTCTATATGTATAGACTTCGGAACGTTAAGAATTTCTCATAGTAAATTGCACTGTTGAACAACCTTTGTTTTACTATGTATATATCTACATCGAAGCATATAGCCAGCGGGTTCCAACCAAAGGTGGGAAAAGATAACAAAACGATATCCTGGATTGCTCGTTTTGAACACATGAAAAAGGCTGAAATTGGCAAACGGGCATCAGTGTACATAAATGGGAATGGATGAACAAAGCGAGCGAGAAACTGCTGCCAGGCATTCTTTCCGTACAAGACAATTCCTACGTGGTGAATCGACATAAAAGGAGAATCTCACCTTTCAAACAACCTTCAGACCGATAAGAAGTGCGACTACCTAAAAAAAAACCATCGATCAACAAAATTCCCATCTACAGGCCCCGCTGGCGCGAAAAATCTCAGAGCTGTCAGTATGACAGCTTCGCACACAGAGAGTTAGAACTTCCATTCCTACTAATTCCATCATACTAATTCCAATAGGCAAGCCTATATTTTTACGATAAGTATATATAGTGATGTCGGTTCTTGTATGCTAAATACGAGTGTGGCGAACAGATGCTGTACCCTTGTTTAGGAAAAGGGTCATACTCTCAAGTGATGAAAGGACTCTATGATAACAGTACAAGTATAGCTGTTAAAATAATCGATACAAGGTGAGTTTCACGGAGCTATTATATATTGCATTTTCTTTGCTGACTGAAGCCCGACCTGATCTAGGGATCGCCTAACGCCGTAGTGGCCGAAATGTTTCACTAACATAAGGTTGGGATGTGCGCAGTGGTGTGAACCGGCATAATAGCCCGCTAAGCTGACTGCTGTGTTTTGTGGGACTTTGTGTCAGACCGGAAGTTCAGGATTTCTCTCATAATAACGGCAAATGAATGAAACAACATAGAAGGGATGAGTGGTTAGGTTGGTAGGGTGAATATATTTGTCACAAATACTCGCTGAGGTTCACTTCATCCCACCGGGCAGCTTTTAAAGCTTCGAGTGAATTCAGTTGTACCAGAGTATTCGCTCGAAAGGGACATTCGAGAGTATGGAAGACCGTTTGTCCATACTTTTGTTTTTCTACCTGAACTTTCTTCGAACGATGCCACCGACCCACGAGCGTACCCCCATTTGCTCTGATAAGCACCATTTAAGATGGCAAAGCGACCAGTTGCTGTTTGCGGAGTATTCAAAGATCTCAACCGGTCCTCACCCTTTCGCTTGTGTTTTCTGTAAAATGCAGCTTAGTAGTCCTCGAAGTAACCCTATAACATTATTGTCTATTTCATGTTGTGAAAGTTACTTCACGACGACTAAGGCTGCCACAAAAAGAGCACCTCGAGCACTGTATCCAAATGGTGCTTATCCGAGGCCAATAGGGCCCGCTAGCGACGAATCCACCTGACTCTAAGAGGAGCCTGGCGCCTGGTGTCGCAAGTTTGGCCTGCGCAGAGCTGTCTGAATTACATTGGAAGAACGTCGCATTTCTGCGTGAGGGATGGCAAAGAATTGGCACAGTAAGGCAGTGCCCACTCTTTTTCTGAGGTGCCAAATTGTTGCTGTTCTAGCAAATTTTATTTACATCCAAAGCGACGTTTTTGATGTGACAACCTAATATTTCGTCAGAGAGTCAGATTAGCAAAATTCCCATCTTAGAGCCCCGCTCTAAGGAGGACAGAGGAGAGCGAGAATACTTAACTTCGTGTCTTTCCCCAAAACTGTTAACCGAGAGGCGGAGAGGTTGAAGGGTAAGTAAGGGCGCAGCAAGTAGGCTTGCTTGTTTCGCCATTCTGATTCGCGCCATTTTGAGCCCAAGGCTCCATTATACTCATGTATGTATCATTCCGCTATAATTCTTTCATAATAGCCATCAACACATGACGACATCGCGTATAATGTATGCTATACGAAGATAGCGTGCTCCCACTACTTAAAGGCACGAGTCAGGCTCAGTGGACCAAACCAATCCCTTTTGTCGTCTTTGTGCATGGCTACGCACCCACAGAGACGTTACCATGCTCAGAATCCCAAACGGCGCCGTAATAAGGCTCCAGGGCACGTATTAAGCGCTTTCGCCGCCTGGCGGCGCTCCGACCGCCCACCTCCGGAAGTGGTGCGTGGCTGGCATAACGTGTGAAATCAGCTAGGTTGAACCGATAGAACGACTGACATCTCCAGAAAACTTGTTTGTACGTGCCTCTTTCCCAAGCCAGCCTCCTTCACTGCTAGTGGGAAAGAGGGTTTTGTTAACGGCCTTGTCGACGGTTTTTCTCAGTTTTTTCTCCACTGTCGTTCCACTTCGCATCTCTATACTCAGTTTCAATCGCCATAATACCCCCTTATTGAGCCCGACTTTTGCCTTTAAGCAGATTTTGCAGGGTGCAAGCTTTGGGAAATCATGAATAAAACGAAATCATACTTGTTATATTCAATGCCTGGAAACTGGAGAAATTAGACCTATCACGAAAGGTCAAATATGAAAGAACGTGTAATAGTTACGAGACAATAATTTATTCAATACTAGTTGCATGGAATTCAAAAGCACTTTTGATTAGTTTGCTTTCAGTGAGACATCATTTAAAAGCCATCCACAAAGCTTCGTACTTATACTACTGCTCTCATTCACATGTTCACGACAACAAAAAAAAATCAAAAGTAATCGAATTTCTGCAGCCAAGAAAAGCCTTGCTCAGAACACACGAGTCTTAGCTAAACTTGAAGCATATCCAACAACTGTGGCGTAATCTCGAAAGTGATTTTATTTCCAACAACAATTAGCAAAAGGCAAAGAATTGTGCATTCGCGAAAGAGTGATGAAATGTGTGAAATATTTATTCTGCGCGGTTCTCAGCTACGGCAGTGTGTAGGTGTGTGTTTTTCGCGCTGTGGTCAATGTGCTGAGCAGTCTTCCTTGATTTACAAATAAGAGCAAACAACTGCAACTCATTTATTTTTTAGTTATTCTGGAAAAGTTGAGTGATACAAAGTGCCTTAACATTGCATGCTTCAGAGTACAATCAGAATACGTTCGGAAGTTCTTACCACGCGAATCAGCTTTGATACAAAATCTGCATCACGAATGCGTTCTCGCAGTATATCAGGTAGTAATCGTAGTTTACGTAGAAGAAGTGATATACTCTGACTTTAATCCTTTCCGGGGCCACATTTAGCGAACGTTGCACTCCCCTGTTCCACATCTTGCTTGAGCGATTCTCCGACGAGAGTCGCGGAGGTTTGGTAAGAAGCAAGTTAAACCTAGCATATCGGCCTGGATGTAGGCCGGTGATCGAATGATTGCTATATCGATATCGTGTTGGGTTTCGCATTTTTCCAGTTGGGTCCTGTACATATTCGTACGAGAAAACAATCTTGCGCGAAGTTGTATGGTTATTGGTGTCGTTCAGCACAATTCGGGCGCGAATGCCTCTGGTTGGCTGTCTTTCACTTTTTTCTCCACACAGTTTAGGGCAATAAAATCGTTCAGAATCTGTGAATAGGGGTAGGCTGTTATGTTTCTTACAAGAAGCACAACATTTGTGCATGAAAACACAAACTTATCTAAAGACTTTTAGACGACACAGCATTCACATTTAGACATGCTATACGAAGTAGAATTACGATACCGTAGGGCAAGCAAAAGTGCATCTTCCCGTGCCGTGTAGAAAACATCGAAATTCATGCACTAATTCAAAGTAAAGGGTACAGGAACAGAAACAAATACGTCAACAAGAATCAAAGAATTTCGTAATTCACACTATCGGGATTTTTCCCACAGACATTAATAACCTAGTCTTTCAACAGTTCATTTTCCACACGGCCTCCAGGTAATTGTTTTGTAGCTTGTGAGGTGACTGAGACTGCGCCGCAGAAATAAATTGTGATTGTGATGCCGAGATTTTTAAGCTGTCTCGCCATGTCTGCTCCAATTTCTTATCTGCGGAGAGCTCCTCTTGCAAGAAAGGCAGCCACGACGCGCGTCCCGTAGGGAGAATCATATTCAGTCATGGGGTTGATGTTTTTAAATGGAACTGTTCAAGGAAATTGTTCTCACCAACAAGTATTGTGAAGACGCTCAAATATCATTCAACAATAAGAAGGATTGCTAACTATGCATCGTCCAACAGTTACACTAGCCATGTTTTCTTTCAGGTCGTTGACATTGGTCACTTTAGAATATTTGTCACAGAATTCTGCGATGGTGGAGACTTGCTACAGAAAATCAAACGAATGAAGCGAGTACCAGAGCCGGAATCCAAATGTCTCGTTTCGTCACTCCTCGATCACTCATTGCAGTTGCATGGCCTAGATTTTTTGCTTTTCACAAACATGCACGAGTTCCGTACCGTTAAAGGCAAGCATGTCAGTTCGTTTGATGGGTTACTTCAAGTTCACTCAAACGTGAAAGGTTGAGATGGGAGGTGGACAGCCAGTGGAGAAAAAACCGAAAGAAAATTCTGAAATACACAGGAAATACGAGCATCTGTGGCAAAATTTGAAAGACAGCTAGGGAGATGAAGATATTTGAGCGCGGTGTAGCCGGGTTAGAAATTCCGAGCCGAGAGTATGCAGATCAACAGTGCGACCAGACACATATCGACGTTGAACCTTTTAGGTTTTGATGGAGTTTTTAGAAATCATGACACCTAGGTTCTAGTGCCCTATGTAGAAAGATGTTACTACCTTTGCACTTGCGTTTCCAGCACTTGCAACTATGGTAATGGCTTCTAAGGTGGGTCGAGAACCCAAACTTTGCCTTCAAGGTAGTGGTAGTGTCAAGTCTGTTCGTTAAAATAGTGATGACTATCTAACAGTACATAGCCAACCGGAAGCAGCTCGAAATTCCAGCTCGAAATTAATAAAACGTGCCCGAGCCAAATCTCCTTATTTCAGTACTTGCAAAAATGCGACATCTCCTTATTTCAGTACTTGCAAAAATGCGACATCGTTCATCGCGATTTGAAATGCGAGAACGTGCTTCTCGATCGAAGTGAAAATGTGAAGCTGGGCGACTTTGGATTTGCTCGCTATCTGAGGCCACACGAGAAAGCAAATACCTTCTGTGGAAGTAGAGCTTATGTGGCTCCCGAAATTCTCAGAGCGATTGCATACACTGGTCAAACGGTGCGTTTTCATGGATGAGACGACAGGTTTCACACAGAACCCATAACTACAATTTTATAAATGACTAGCAAGCCAATCTTGAGGATGTATCCGAAAAAAAAACCTCGTGTTTGCCGTGACTTTACAAGTCTTACAAACAGTGTTATGGAAACTACTACCAGCAGCTCACATCTGGTCTTTGAAAGAGAGCTGCAGTTTGATTGATTATTACCATTATGTTTCTACCATGATAGATGTATAAACTCCCATTCGCTGCGTTCTCCCCACAACTCCGTCACTCTATTTACTTCCATTCGGCAGTAATGAGAACAACACCTTGAGCAGCAGCGTACCAGCGCAAGCGTATCTATAGGGTGGCCGCAAATTGCGGTAAGCACGTACGCAGGCAGCTTGAGAACTAAACCGACGCAGCTTCAAATGCTGCTTTTGAATGTTTGGTTCTATTTAGATGATGTTCACTCTTTAATTTTACTGCACAGTATTTATCAACTTTGAATTGCCAAACCTTCAGCTCTTCATGGAACAATCTTTGTTTGTTTCGAGGTGTCAGTTGGAGTAATGTTGCAAAGCAACCCAGGTTCTCTAATACGCATGTAACAACCATCATCACAAAGCTCAATGAACGAGGTACTAGGAACGATCGTTATGAGCGGGAAAGAGAAGCTACTAATGTTACCAGGAACAAGGTTGGCAAATCTGCGCTGAACTCTAGCACACTCAGTCAATCGTTTGTCTTCTTAAGTAGCGACAAGAGCACCCTTGTTGGCACCCTTGGTTACCACTACAACTTCAGCGACGACTGCATCTGAGTAGTGAAAAGCCCCACTCTCAAATGCTGTGCCTAAAATGAAAAGAAAGCGATGCGACGGAGATGTTGTCTCAGAGTGATGAGAAGGTATTCACAAACGAGTTAACCCTGGAACAGTAGGACGACTATTTTTGATTCCCAAAGAGGTATCTTATTTCTACCGAAGGTTTTCCTACCCATTCCTATAATGTTCCGATGGCGCCCAGGATATGTGTCCGAGTTGGCCCCTTTGTTAAGAGCGCGCTGTGCTGTCGAAAACCTCATTCATTTAACATAGAGGCCCGATGCTTCAGTCCACTATTCTCCTTGCTAGAGAGATGAACTACAGAACGTGGAAGTTGTATTTGATACAACCCCTTGAAGAATCAATCTATATATACGCCTGCACCACACCTCAAATCCAGTGTAGTGGTCCGGCATTATTTACGCTCTACTACACCGAGACTCCGCCTTGCTTCACGAATAGCTGTTGATAATGGCTGATGATACGTTTTCTATCAAAACCCTACACATGCCTATGCCGTCGCCGGCAAACATCTTGAATTTACTCTCGTTGCTCCAGCATGACGTTGTAGCCCTATGGGGATCTCCCACTTTAGGGTGTGCGTAAGCCCATTTCGCCCCCGACCACTTCACCGCCAGATAACTTCGCAGGATTCGCAATCGGTGAAGGCGGACGTATACAGTTAGGTTTAGAAGGTGTTTGTATTCACACGTATGGCAACTGTACGGTACTACTTCGTCTTCTAGCAATAGAGCGACCAAAAGCATCGCACCTCCACTGTGAAGGATGGTTTCGACAGCATGGCGCTTTCAACGAAGGGAACAATTCACACCAATGTCCCGAGCGCCATCGAAACATTATGGGAAAGAGTAGGGATACCTTTGGTAGAAATAAGAACATGGAATATGAGCGAGAAACTTGTCAGATTTGATGAAAAATAGAGTGAACTTATCCCGGTAGAGAGTGGATTCATTGACTGGTTCGATACTTAGGCCTCATAAGATTTCAGCGACTACAGAAGTTTAGTAATCTAGTATTGAACTTGCTTTTTTAATTTTCATCGAAGTTGGATTGTTTTGTCAAGGTGTAAGCACTATAATATGAAAATTAACTTGGAACTTGGTCCTTGTCGGTAAATTTCTAGTCAAATGGTTTTTTCACTCTTATTTTTCTCTCCCATACAATACCAACATAAAAGTTCGGTGGAGGAGGTCGGCTTTCAACAACAAGCAAAATTTGAACTTTGAACAAAATTTGAACTCCAGTAGAAAAGAAGTTACAGTCGAAAAAGTATTCCTCTGAAGAATTTTGAGCGCTAGTGTCCATAAAAACTCTGGGATGACGTGAGCGATTAGCATTTGCTCTAAGAATACTTTCGTACAATATATCCTGCCAAAATGTGGAGTGATTCTATCTCCGTCTGCTTTAGGTTGATATCTGGAGCGCCGGTGTTGTTCTGTACGTACTGTAACAGGAGTAATGCCGTACGACGATCGAAATCCACAGAAGATGGTTGAGAGGCAGCTGCAACATCGAATTCGGTGAGTAAGATTTGTCACAGAATCAACAGCAGCAGTTACCGAATCCAGAAATTGTCATACTTTATGGGCTCATTATGAGCTATATATGCCATGCATAGAATAGCTCTTAGAATGACTGATGAAAGCCTCATAATGGGGTTTGAAAAGCACATTTGTTTTCTCTTGTAGCATCCGGCTCGCTTAGAGTTATGACCTCTTGACTTTTAGCGTGAGCGGCTTTTCAGCCGTTTCTGTGGTCACACGCTTTGAGGATGGCTTACATGCCGACCTTTTTGATAGGTCGTAATTATAAGAGTGGTGGTCTTCTTTAATAAATGAAGTTTCGCATCGCTGAGATTCTGACTTGTATTTGATTTATTTTCAATTTCCTTAGCCATCGATCCAATATCTAGAATATTCGTTTTCGTCCAAGCACAGAATCATATATACTCACTAAGAAGATATGAATCGGAAATTCTCAAGGGATGAGAAATAATAAGCTATTCGAATGTGCAGGTTCCCAAAAATAGAGCTCAGCATACAAGTGAAGACGCTGATCTACGAGATACTACATCCGTATCCACCGTCACGGCCGACGTACAAAGCGATTTGTTCCAGTGATTGGTTGAAGGATACACCTTACTTATTCAAAGGGGTGAGATTTTCATTATCATCCGCGTGTTCTCCTAACGACCCTGCCGCTAGTAGAGAAAGGAATTTTTTGCCCTTGACAGTTTCTTTTCGCTTTTTCATGGCGTTTCACTACACTCCACTGGCACTCGCAAGTAAAATGATACATACGTCAACGCGATGCCTTAATTAGCCTTTAAAGCATTCAGCACCGCAAACTTGCAAAGAGCGGAGAGTGGAATTCTATGATAGAACGAAGATGAAAAAGAAAAGCCGAGCCCCGTCTTTATGCAATAGCTCCCCCCCCCCCAAACGACACCCCAAAAAAGCCCAGTAACCAACTGAACAAGGCTTGCCACTGCACTAACAACTCATGCGTTCGCAGCCAAGTGTGCACAGTGGATTTGCGACATGCTGTCGTATCTGCTTTGTATCGCAATGAATAGGTCCTAAAGCGTTTTTCACCTATTTTATACATACATGTGTACTCTACAATGTAATGCTAACGTGAGTTTGATACAGGCGGCTAAAACTGCAATTTTGAAGTCTCTCGCTGATCATTTACACCGTCGCCGCAGTTTGCCTATTGCTCCACTAAAAATGCGTTTGTTTCAGGGGAGGGATTCTCACGGCAACTAATAGAATCATGAAAGAAATAAAGGAAGTCGAACGATTACAGAATCAGCATCTTTTAGCTTTCAGATATTCAGCGAAATTGTCATAGATTGTACAGTACCTGGGTTAAAAAATTTAGATACGTGGCAGCTGATACTGTTTCACGTTCCGAATGGGAAAAACAACTTGGAAACGGTTGCGTTGCCATTCCAGGTTGTTTCTTCTGGTTTTTACCCCTAGCTGACGACCGAACAAAAAACAATACGCAAGCTAAGAAATTCTTAATGAAAGAAAATGGAGACCACATATGTTCAATTTGCTTTCGCCTTCATGTTATAAGTGAGTCGCGGCAGCAAATTATGCACCCATATGCCTTGCTCAAAGCGCGTTATCTTATAAGACAGCATCTAGATTGAAGATGATATTAAGAAAACATATACCCCGGGAGCGTGTTTGTCGGCGGAGTGGGCGGCGACTGGGTAATCGCGTAGTATTAGGTAGTTAGCTTCAACCAGAACTGTTCAAAGTTTCATTGTTGGGTCCGCAAGATTCAGGTCCACTTTTCTCAACTACAAGCAACTTTACAGAAAGACGTGCACCGCAGCCACCGCACCTATCAAATTTTCAAACCTTTGACAACCAGGGATAGCAAAACTCTCGTCCCAGTTTACAAAACTTATGTTCGCCCACTTGTTGAGAATGGGACTGTGGTTTTCTCGCCGCACAAAAAGAAAGACATTGCACTGATTGAGAAGGTTCAAAATAATTACACTAGAAAAATGCTGGTTCGTCGCGGTGGCTTCCTGTATTCAAGAATACCGAAGGCTGAAATACGGAATAAATTTTATGATCTCCCTTCCCTTCAGTCTAGACGTTTGTTCTTCGATTTATGCATGGTTCACAATCTTCTCAGCGACAGGTCCGCTGTT